TATGAAATACAAGTATGCATTACATTTACGAAATTCGAGATTATATTTGCCATAATCGAGCTGCCCCTACGTTTTAGAAGGTTTAAAAGCAACACATGCTGCTTGATTGTGAGTTGCTGCAAAACATCGACAAGTCTGACTCAGAGCGACACAACCAATATGTTCAGTATCTGTCCCATCAAAGAACATTGAGAATGACAGAGATTTGGTGTGTAGACTCTATATTTGCAACATAATGCTACACTTTACTTGAAAGATATTAAATCATCACCGCAGACAATAAATACCAATACCACCACAGGAACAAAAGGTGTAACAATTGGCTTGAAGCACTAAGTGCTCCAAAAGAAACATCTCATAGTATTTTTTAAGTTGCGCACATATGTTTAAATGGAAGCACTATGTGTCCATTCTTTTCTGGAGCGCCACAGTTTTCTGTTGTCGACTCGAGTCCAGAGACATGCCAGGCCGCTGCTTGGGGAGGAATAGATTTCGCGCCCCTACCGTGGAGGCGGTTGTATCACTGAGCACATTGCGCGATTCTTGTCACGCAAACTGCTGATCTGAGTTTTGTGAAGTGGAGAGGACAGTTCTACATTAGTCTTCGCAATCTATTTGGACGAGCGAGAGGATCCGTTTGCCTGCTCCGTCATCAGATAGAGGACTCAATCTCTGCAGAAGATCCCCAAACTCCCATTGTGTTTGCGTTTCCGTCTGTTTCAGACTGTACACAGGTGGATAGGGGAGATAGAGACAACAGGCATTTTACCTTTATGATTCTGATCAACTTTACATTTATTGGGAGTGTTTATAATACAATAAAGGGAACAGTTCACGGTAGGCAAATTTAAATGTTTTTTTGTAAGAACACAACTATTATGGTTTTGTGGTTGAATCTCTGCCAAGTACTGAGCAGTCTTTGACTTTAAAAAGAAGTTCCAATTCAAAGGCACACAGCAAAACAAACGTTTCATTCATGTACATGACTGCTGCTAGATTTGAAACCATTGTTACCCATGACCTCCAAAAAAATAATATCTACACACAGAAACGCAAATCTTCACATTTAACCCTCCTGTCCATGCTTTGGAAGGAGTCGAATCTGATAACTTTTACTTCATTCACGATCATAAAACAATGTGTGTTTTGTACATTTGATTGCTTAAAAACGATATCCTCACTTAGAACTTTGAACATAAAATGCTGATCACGCGGGACTTTCTCATCCTGAGTTTTGAGGGGTTTAGTCTCAAGCTTTGGTAAACCCTAGACAGGGGTGTCAAACTCAAAGTACACAGTGGGCCAATCATTTAAAAAATGGGCACTAGTCGAGGGCCGGACTGCGTTCAATGTTGTAAAGCAAACTTATTGAAAATGAACTTATTGCACATATTATAACCTGGAACTAACAAAGCTTAAATTATTGCCTATAAAACAACATTAAACATTAAATACTCAGTTGCATTCCGATATCTCTTGATGGCTTCTATGCTGCAGAGTCTTCTTCTGATTACTTTTCCCACAGGCCAACACGCTTCAACAAAACTATTCCCTCAAAGAAAAAACAAACATGCTCCTGTTGTCGTGAGAGAAAAAGTGGAGAGGGAAACATCCCTTTAACTTCAGGTTGCTGCTTCTGTGACTGTGTCAAGCAGATACTTGGATCTCATCTGGTGCAAGGTCATCAACTCTTTGGGGTCAGGTTCTGAGCTGAGGCAGACCCTCAGGATTGAGTGAAGGTGAGCGTGCGCAATATCACCGGCGGGCCGAGATCTAAGGGTAGTAAGTTAGAAATGCTCCTGCGGGCCGGAATGAAATCCACCAATGGCCCTGATGTTGGCCCGGCGCGTGTTGAGTTTGACACATGTGGCCCTAGAGTCTGGGTGTTTTCCGATTCAAAAAAAACCTCCACAGGAGAATGGAATAGTGTAACCCCTAGATTAATGTTTTCATCAACTTACACACAAAACGAGTGTTGTCTGTCTAAGTGTAACCAGCAGTTAAGACCCGACCCGTTCAGAATTTGCCCAGCAACACCAAAGGTAAGGGGGAGACACAGACACGACAGGAGGGTTGAAAACAAACTTCTCACCTCATCGTGGTTTCTTACCAGAGAGGAAGGATATCTCGCTGATGAGCAGCCATCCCCGAATCCCAAAAAGCGAAGTAGAATTTGCGAGAGGAGGGATCTGAGCGGGCCCGGCCGCCCAGCGGGGGGTAGATGGGTGAGAGAGGGGTCCTTCAGATGCGGCCAGTGGGCACGGGCCAGCTGTGAGGGCCGCAGACCGACGGCTTGCAGGATGCTGGGCTTAAAGAGACACTCCAACTTTGCGAAGACCTCGCACGCCCTGAGTGTGGCGGGTTGTTGCTGTGCACACTAGAGGAGGAAGATTGAGAAAGAGAAAGAGGAAGAGTTAGGCTTTAGTATATATCTACACACCTGAATGAATCGAGCCTAGAATGCATATTTGTATATACAATTGTTGTATCTGATTGGTGTGTTTTTGGAATCTTAAAGGTGGGGAAAAAATACTGCCACTTCCTTACAGAGCCCCCTCCTTCCCAACACACACTGAACGTGCACATGACCAATGAGGTGCACGAGATAAGTTTGTGCACATATGGAAGGCTGAACGGCAGGTAGGTCCAATCCAGTTATTTTAGCCGGTGCCGGCTCGAGATGATTGGGTCGTCAAGCTTTTCTTACAGGTACACTACTGCTTCCACAGATGACATTTTTTTTTATGGATTTTGCTGCTCAAAGCACTTATAGGGGACTTATCATGCAAAATGCACTTTTGTACGTCTTCTATACATGAATATGTGTCCCCGGTGTTCCAGGGAACTCACCAAGTGTCAGAAAACACAACCCCCTCTATTTTCCTCCATACCCAAATCTCTTAAAAAGGGGCTGCAACGGATCTGATACAGACTGATCCAGATTTGAACACTTCTATGACGTCACAGAAGTGGCGCTACGGCTATTGGGCCAACTCCACCAATCAGGAGGAGACAGCCACGGACATTGCCGTTGGAAAGCGCTGGAGACGCTGTAGTACATATGCCAGGCCTGTAGATGGTGCTGTTCTCACAGAATCAGCCCATCCAAAGACAGTGTTAAATTGAGCGAAATGAGGAATGGCTAAAATGCATGATCTGTTTGATATTTTGAAAAATAAAAAGTATAAATATGCCTTATATAGGTATGGTCCTACACTATATTATTCAAATATAGCATGATAGCAATGAATATCTGAAGTGGACCTATTGGGATGTTAAGAGCATTCCATGGAATATAACAAAAAGTGTATCTCGAGCCGGTTTCTCAAACTTACCTACCCCACCTTTAATGTGTGCATATGTATAAATGTGTCTTTTGATTGTGTGTATATAGGATACACATTTTTATACATATTTGTATTTTTGTATTCGGGATTGTTGGAAACGGTATTTCGATCTCTCGGTCTGTTCACACAAACTGAAAGATTGACAATAAAGTTGATTTTGACTTTGATGCAAACAAGTGACCAACTCAGGGGAGATAGGGCTCTAATCACTCATACTTCCTGGAAACACAAAGAGATTAAATTAACTCACAACAATTAATGACACATTTTCCTCCCGTTTCAACCGTAATTGCTTTGGCACGACTCAGAGCTGAGCAAGAATACAAGTTAGACACAGGAGGGGGAAAAGAAAACGATGACAGAAGACCGATGGAGGAGAGCAGATGATACATCTTTACAAGCAGAGAAAGGCCAAAGAGAGAGGAATCCATAAAAGCTGATGTACGAGGCGTCATCGTGGCTGGAGGGAGGAGGAAGAGGGAGTTAAACAAGCAAGAGGTCAAAACTGTAGATCTCAGAGATGGGAAGGTAAGGAGGAGGTGGGAGGTTGTTTCAACACACACACACACACACACACACACACACACACACACACACACACACACACACACACACACACACACACACACACACACACACACACACACAGGTCTATTAAGTCGACAGAACTAGAGTGATGGAGTAATGCACTGCTCCTTCAGGGGAAACAGCTCCAATGACCTGCCCAAAACTTAATTTGAGAACATAATGCTGCATTAGTTATGTTTCACTTGTTTCATCGTAAATCTAACGTACATTATGAGCTTCCTCTGATCTTTCTGTTTCCCCTAGCTTTCACTTGCGCTTACAATGAAAAGTTACATAAATTCCCAGAGGACAGAACCTGATCTTTACAAAAGGCAAATCAGAGGGTGCCCAGTGTGGTAAAGGTCCTGCAGGAAGTGTAAGTCATGCAACAGAAGGTCAGAGAGCAGGGTTCCCTTTGGGAGCGTGATTAGGTGAAAGTTTAGGAACTACAGACACAGGTCAAGCCTGAATTAGCTTCAGGTTCCCACTCTGTATTTACTTGACCCGTGTGTCCGACATATCCGCTCTGCCAGGCCAGCATAACGGTGTGTGTCAGCTGAGGTTAGTGAGGGAAACCACAGGGGAAAAGGCAGGAAAAACAGGATAAGGGAATACCGCAGGGAACCATTTCAAAAGGTAACTGAGAAACACTGGAATAACAATGAATGTGCAAAGACAAAAAAAGAGCTGAGGAAACATTTTAGAAATGTTGGATCGCAGTCAAAACCAAAAGCCACAGAGATTACATGTCACACTGACTAGGGGACTGTTTAATATGTATAGGACAAATCCCACCCTAACCGACATTCCTACCCGCATCCAACGAGACAACAGTTATAACTCAAACTGGGTTGCTTCATATTATCGTTCCCCCTCTGTTGCTCCACAAACTAACCCCAAAAGCCACACAAACAAAACTGTGATGCAACGCGGTGGACCCAGACGCACTGTCCCATGGTAAACAATGGCACATTCAAACTAATTAAATGGCTGCAGAGCTTTTCCAGCCAGAGTGTTGCTTTCTGACGAGATGGCAGCCCATAACTCTGCGCTGGAGTTCGTCTGAGAGGCCGTCGAGCTGTGCGAATTGCAAAGGAGTTTCATCAGATGCGGAAAGAAACTCAGCCTAATGTCCTGCCATAAACTCAATTAATTAACCAAATTAAGGTAGTCATTATAAAAGGTCTTTGTCTGCATACTTGTCTTCACGTAACATATGGTTATCATTAACAAGGTCTCATTTTCAAACATAAAAGGAGTTATAAAGTTCAATATAATCAGCCGCACTTCTTTAATATGCAGATTTATGCATCAAGCTGCTCTAAAATCTAATCATCTCGTCTAGGGGGAGGCAATCTTATTTACACAGGACCTTATTACAATCAGAGGTCAAAGAAAAGGAGAAAGTGTAAGACTGGAACAAGAAAAGTTGACATTATGAACAGTTCTTGTTCTCTGAGATTAGTTTTGCTTCGAGTGGATGGTTCACCGTTTTGATGCAAGCTGTAAAAATGGAAAGAAAATAATACAATGCAACTAAGACCCCATTTACACGGGAGCGCAAACTCAAAAAAGTCTTCCGTTCACACGCATTCGGTCATTTAACGTGTCCGTTCACACGAGACCACTGGAAACGCTGTAGTACATATGCCGGGCCTGTAAGTGGCGCTGTACTTCTGCCACAAAATACACCAAAAGCAGCAAAGAAGACCACCGAGCATGGTTGCCATGGTTGCCCTTCTGTTTATGCCCCGCGGTAGATTTAGCAACATGTTGTTCATGTAATTCTCCATGTCCACTTGTTGCTGATGGTTGTGGTAGAGGAGCTGTAGATTTTGCACTAACATCTGTAGCATGGTCAGTAGCAGTAGCAGTAGCACTAGCAGTAGCTACTGACAGTAGCTACTGCTAGTGCTCCAGCAGTGAGCAGCAGAGGTGGGGCTATGGCTTCATCGTTATCAGAAAATGATCGTATAGAGGCGTACACATGGAGCCGTTTGGCCCCCCAGAGCGTTCCGTTTGCAGATCTATCCACCTTGGGACCCGTTATCGTTTGCGGGGTCCGTTTCCGCGGTTCCGTTACGGCCTCGTGTGAACGAACGGGCTATACGCGAGAGAAAAGTAGCGGATAAAACCTGTTTTGTTCCCGTGTAAACACCGCCTAAACTACTTGTAGATTAATCAGTGATTTTCCATTTTTAAAAAGATACAGTATGTGTCTTAACTACAAGGCCAGAGACAGTGTTTTTGGATCAATGTCACAGACAAAACAATCCAATGGGATAACAATGTCCTGCATAACACTCTTACATTCATTTACACACAACACCAAATTTAGATTGGGTTTAGATGAGACTGATTGTGAACACTTGAGTCTGTAGATTCTGCATTATCTGTTAATTGTGGACAAATTGAGTTGCCTTGCAATTTATATTAGAGGATATTTTTTAAAAGAAATCTTAGGACACAGAGAGGAAACTTTATCCTGGATGAGATCTCTGACAGTGATTGATTTACAGGCAGCTCCACACTGTGAGACTGCAGTGGGGTTACAATGTCCTGCATAACCCTCTCTCATTTGTTTACACAAACAACAAAGCATGACACAAACTCTCACTGCCTACCTGCATGTTGTTGAAGAGGCGTGGTTTCTCAAAGTCGAACTCAATGTCCACGCTGCCTTGCCCGAGGGCTTCCCGGCTCCAGCCCAGGTAGTCGTACCCGGGCCAGACCCTCAGCTCTTTAGTCTGCATGAAGTCGTCTCCTCCCAGGACGCCGTCGCACAGCTGACCCAGGCCTCCGAACTGCATCCTGCACACACACAGTATAGAGGTAAGCTTCCTGTAAATGTAGGTTTTTCTCAACGTGTTGATCAATGTAGACTGTAATTATTAGGACCGGAATATTGTTCTATCTGGACTCAAGGAATCAGTATTTTAAATTTGAATATTTTTCTCATTTCTGTATAACAATATATCTTAACCCTAACCCTTTTTCCCCCTTTTATTTTCTCTTCAAAATTGTTGAATTTTTGTATCTCTCTCTTACTACTTATATCCTTATAAAGTGTGTATTGTTGCATACATCTTCACCAAAGCTAATACTGTATGTGTGAACCTACATGGCAATAAACCTGATTCTTAAATTTCACCACTTTTGCTTAAGGTCATAACAACTAATGGATTATAGTAGCCATTTATTCAATGCATAAAGTTCAAAGTTAAAAAAACAACACCTGTCGTAAATAATCAAATTTGACATAGCACTTTGACATAGTCCCCCTATATCAATATATACAAATTATACATGGTATTCAACAACTATGTAATCTGTCATGCCAAGATAAATATTTGTTCCCAGATATATAAATATGTGCTCAAGTGGCTCTAACAAGCATCCTATTCTGATGTAAACTAAACCACACTGAGTTACCGTGTAGTTTTGTGCAGGAATAGTGCTGCACTGTGGACCGCCGTCACTTTCTATTTACAAATGTATTCATGTAGAGGCATGCAAAGGTGCATAAATAAGCATATGATATATACATAGATGCACATGCAGGCCCGCACACACCTACTCACACACTGCGAACTACACACATCTGCTACAGATAAGTCTGGATTACATCAAACGTGTTAGCTTACTCGCTAGCAAAACATTTCAGCCCCATTACCCTCACAGCCATGCTCGTGCAGGACCCCCACCAACTCAGAGTTCACCCCTCCTTCACTCCCTGCCAAAACATTACGGCCAGGAAACACGCCTCAAATCCCTGAGCAACTAACAGAAATAACGTCATTCCCTTTCGATTAGGCGGACACTAGAATAAACTTTCAAGGAAGGATTTGGCTGAGCCCCACTTCAGTGCTAACAGATGTGATGAGTGCTGCTGAGGGGAGTTTGATATTCCACTGATCACTCCACAATGTTCACTGTAACCCCTTCTGAATTCTATTTTGGTCACATTTGCATTGTTTCATCTCGCATTTCCATGCAAACAATATCCAAAAGCAGCAATTTCTAGGAATGTATGGAGATGAGATACCGTCTCATACATAGAAATGAAAATGGTGAAACAAAGAGAGGTTGAATATCTTACCCTTGCTCAGTGCTCCCATCATAGGTGGAGTCATTCAGGTAGACAGGCATGCCAGAGAGGTGCATGACGTGACCCACTGGAGCCGTGTAAGCCTTCAAACCATCTGCAGAGAAACATGGACATATTTTCAAGATTATTCATGCTATTGGGAATACAAAAGATATTTTAGTTTTCTATTTAAAAAGACAGACCTGCTGCATCTGAAGCTTTTCATTAGCAGCTTTCCAACTTTAAAGGTCCCCTATTATACTGTTTTTCAAAACTGTATTATAGGTCTCAGATATATATAAAACATGTCTCTGAAGTGATTGGCTCCAAACACCAACCGGATCATTGCAGCATTACCCATAATCCCCTCTGTTTCAGCCCTGTTTCAAAAGTGCTCTGTCTGTTACTTTAGATGAAAATAAGGAGCCCCTCCCCACGCCCCTCTGAGAGAGATTTGGTTCGAAAGAACTCAATGGTGCTCTAGGAGGAGATTCAGGTGATAAGGGTGGGGGGGGGGGGGTTACCTTGGTTGGTGATTGGCTAATGGTTACACAAGCCAACAAATCGTTATGACATCATAAAGTGGCCAAAATCTGTTCAGCTCATTTTCAGACAGGTTTTTATATAAATGGATCAAAAAGAGAGAAGAATCTTTGTTCCCTGAAACTATTCAGAGTCCTTTTCCACAGAAGGGACACAGTTGATGTAGAAAGACAGAGGAAGAGGGGACACATGTTGATGTAGAAGAAGACAGAAGAAGAGGGGACACATGTTATGTAGAAGAGACATGAAGAAGAGGGACACATGTGATGTAGAGAGAGACATGAAGAAAGAGGGGACACATGTTGAGGTAGAAGAACCTGAAGAAGAGGGGACAGCCATTTGTTGTAGAAGAGACATGAAGAAGAGGGACACGTGTGAGTAGAAGAGACATGAAGGAAGTGGATTTTGCATAATAGGTGGACCTTTAAAATCGTCATCGACTGGCACGGGCCAACTGCTGCAGAATGTTTTTTTAAGAATAAACAAACAGAGAGGCTGCTGCCCGGGCCCACAGAGTCCCAGCCAAACATTAACGGTGAAACTGAAGCCTCCCCAACTCCAAATATACAGCAAATCAAGCCCGCTCCCACGAGAGCAGAGGGACGTAAGCGAGCACT